TGCCTGAGTCAGACTAAGTAAGGCTATAGATCTAGATAGTATTGGTCATAGGTTGCTGGGTAGCTAGGCCAGGATTGCTGCCAGGTCATGTGGTATGGGGGTATACACCCTGGTCACTGGACTGTCATTCAATGGTCCCTGTGTAAGTCATTGTCCGATGCTGACATCCTTTGGAAGGCTTTAGGGCTTGGAATAGGATGTAATTTTACCTTCAAATCTTACTTTTAAGGAACATCTGAAACATGTACATTACATGTAAAATAAACAAACACTGGACTCTATCTAGATCTAGACTCTAGGTCTAAGACTAAGTAAAAAGTAACTTTACATTAGAAAACTATGAGTGGTAGATAGCTTTAATAATTATAATTAGGTTATATTATGATGTAATATTTATATGCCTTTGTATTGCCATTAAATTTAAGTCTTTAGATGACTTTTTTGAGACCTAGATCTTGATTTGAAAATTAGTCTACCATGGGTCTATTTGTTTTACATACTATATAGTATATATGAGTATTAAATTTTTCAATTGCTTTAACACTAGTCTTGGTACATCACTCTTTAGTGATATACTTTCAATATAAATAAATATAATTCAAAATCACAAGCTTTCAAAGTAATAAGAATACAAAATTTCAACACGTGGCTACGATGCTTAGCTGCAATCTATTCCTTGCAACAGAGTTGGATTCTAGGGAGATAAACCAGGCACACTATTGAACTGCTTTTTTGGATGAAGTAAGTTCTATTGGTTCTTGTCTTAATCATTTGGAATCTCATGTTCACCTTTTTTTTTTTTTCAGAAAGCAGACAGCCAAGCTCAACATTATAACCTGTAAATTCCACACTCAAGTCACACCATTATTATTTCAAACATCACAGTTGCTATGGTAATAGTTCACTTTCAGTAAGACATATATATACATATTCTAAAGCCCATGTTGTTGTTTTTTAAGTGCAATGAATACATCATGGACTGAATGTTATGAGTCTCCTGACTGATCTTCTATTTGGAAGTAGTTAAAAACTGTAAACATTGAAAAAATGGTGGCTGTTGTTTAACATCTGTTGATTGTTGGACAGGCATCGACATTTTAATTATCTGTGTATCATTTGTTGAATTACTACTTTCTAGCAAAATAAGAGTTGGTAGACTGTTCTGAGAAACAGTACCAGACTGAACTGAAGTTTAGAAAAGAAAGTGCATACAACCAAAAGATTGTATAACTATAACAATTTCATAAGATAATAGTTTCAATAAAATATATTATATATATACTTTATAATTGTTATTAAAAAAGTGAAAGCATGTTTGTAAGGTATTTTTTTGTTGTGACTCTTTGAATATTTTAAATTGCGTACATAAAGAATATATCCCAATTTGTATGTTCTGAATTATACACTGAAAAAAATAAAAAGATTCTCTGCTTAAGGGGTGAACAAATGTATAGAAATTACAAAAAAAAACCATTCATGTAGTGTTTCCTAATGTATGTTTTTTTTTTTGTATTTTGAATTATTTAGCATTAAATTAATTCTTAAACTATTTCTTTCAATTGTAATTTTTTTTTCCAACAGATATAATTTCTTCTGCTTACTAAAATAAGCTACTGTTACGTGCGCAGCATAGTGTGAATGTGAAAAGGTGCGGATGGGTGTTGAAAGGGTTAGAGAAAGGAGATCTAGAAATGGAGGAATGTAAATGAAGTTGTAATTGACATAGTATTGTTTGTTAATCAGAATTGAAGTCTTCTTAACCTATTATAGATGAGTTTTTGATGAATAATTAAGAGTCTCATGCTCGTAACAGCTTCATTTCTGAATTTAATGCCTTTGCATTCTTACAGGGCAGAGCCAATGAAAAAGAAAAAGAGGATAGACCCCAGTGTCATTGCTGCACGTGAGGCTAAAAAAATTAGAAGAATAGAAAAAGAAATCAAAAGGCTCACAAAATTTGGCAGGATATTGAAACCCATCGAAGAAGTAGAAATAGACAATCGAAAATACAGGCTAGCATTGTATGTGTACAATAAATTATTTAGAATTTAAAAAAGAAATTATTCTGTTTTGTCAACAATTAAAATCACATATTTATACATTCTGATATGCATGATCTTGAAAGATATTTTATTTTAAACGTAAATTCTACATTCCTACACAGTTTTTGATTTTACAGATTTATAAAGCAAGTTCTTACTTGCACTCAGCTCCTCACTAGCCATTTGATGTATTATGGTTTACTTAGACTTAGGTGCTTACAGGCCATTTGATACATAGGGAGGCAATATCTGCCATGACTGGTCCCAATTAGAAAGAAGGGTTGGTAGAAAGGCTACTAGCGATTCCATCTGTCTCCACTGACATCTTGCCACTCTTTTTTTTCCAACTTATGCTCGTTTTGTATAGTTTGGCATTATTAGTTGATTCATTGTGCACTTACCTTTAATATAAATGCTTAATAGTTTAAGTAGTTGTTTTTTTTTTGTTCCCCCAAGTATATTATATTAAATTTTGAGAATTGCAGCCAGTTTAAATGTCATTGAAACAGTGTCAAAAAAACATTAACAGCTCAAAATACCTTTTGTCAAACCATTGTTACAAATGTAGAATAAATAAACTACAGGTATGGCAATATATCATTATTTTTTTGTATTTTACCAATTTAGAGAAAGAAAAAGACCTTTACCAACATTAACAGCGGAAGAGAAAGATTATCGAGATCTTTTAATAAAAGAATGGGGAGCGTACAAAAGTTATCAGTGGCACTGGGAAGCCAAAATTATGGATCAGCTGACAGAAGCTCAGCAGGAAGCCTTAGATGAGCTGAAACAAGAATCATTAGAGTTATACCATGCAGCGTTGCAGGTACACTTTTATTACTGTAGCTGATGTCAGGTTAGTTAGTTTTAAATAGGAACATCACAAAACAAACTTTTTTTTAGGGGTATATAAATAAAATAAAGGTTATTTGAAACGTAGTGGTCTCTGGGGGGGGGAATTGTTTTTTTCTTCTAGTCAGGTTTTTGATGCTAAGCTTTAAGCTCTCTTTCAGTCTGTGGTATGGAAAAATAACATGATTTTTTTTTCAGCTCTTTGACACTGCCAAATAGAGTGTTGGTTATGTTGTATTATGTTAATAGGGTCTCCCTTGGTGAATTAATTGGGGCATTCTAAGATGGTGGGCACATTGTCTAAGAGGGAAGAGTATGTGGGTTTATTCTTTTTTGTATTGTGCATCCTGTTCTTAGTTGCAACATTGTAGCGCGCTCTTAGCATGTGAGGAAGTTGATACTGTCCAGTTTGTTAGGCTAGTAATTTCTTTGTAAATAGCTCAATCTATGCTTCTTGACTCTCATTGGTTGAGTAATTCTATTTTGTGATTGCTTGGGAAAATCAAATAAAGATCATCTGTTTCTGTTGCCAAGGTTATCATCAGGCTAGAAAGTTACTATTGGGAATGCAAAAGACATGGGTGATCCCTGGGAGGCTTGGTACTAAACCATGCACTTTTAACACTCAGCCACACAAAGAAAACCATTCATTCCTATAAATAGTATGTAAATGTATTCATTTAATTTAATATGTAACAAGACTGAAATAATATTGATTTATACACAATCTTTACATAAATTGTAATTTTCCTCTTAATGGGACCACTTCTGGATAAGATCAATTTGGTCCTAATAACTGGCTGGTTTGATTAAAAGAACATTTCTAATGTTTCAGTACTTTAGTTGTGGTTCAGATTTGACTTTTTTATTTTTTCTCCCATGATACATTGTATTTTTGGCCTATAAATTATTTTCTCTAACTTCTTGTGTCTTTATAAATTAATGTCAGTGTAATTAAAATTTCAAATTTCTTTTACAAAAACTATATTAAAGGTGCTAGATTGATGTCAGGCACATGACATGAACATAACATCAATATTAGCACTATAATTGTCCATATCTTCTCACCTCTCTTTTAGTGTACGCAAATTTGATCTCATTTTAATGGGTGCTACAAACCTTCAATGAAAATATTTCAGTGACTACATCTCAATGAAAATATTTCAATGATTAGCAAACAATGTGAAAGTATTTTTTTTTTTGGTCAACACTTGTGTTTCTCTGGGCCTAGTAGCTTAGTGGTAAAGTGCTTGGCTTCTGAACCAAGAGGTCATGTGTTTGAATTACCTGTCAATGATAGAAACAGATGACCTTTACATCATCTGCCTTATAGATCTATGGCAAATGTCTGGAAGTGGTATTTTTTTCTTTTTTTATTTACTTTTGTTTCTTACACAATTTGCAAAAGTGATATGCAATTTCATTTCAAGCAACACATAATTTTGTATTTTAACTTTGTTAGTTTTGTTAAGTTTGCTTTATTTGAATATCTTTCAGTTATACCTTTTTTAAAATGTGATTTTTCGCCTAATTGCTATAGATTGAATGTTTTTTTTAATAATTTCAGTCTAATTGCTATGGACATTTATTGAACATCATTCCCTGTATGCACAAAAATAATTTATTAGACTATTAGACTCGTACTCTTTTCTATTGCCCAAGACTTGGTGAACTCTGTTTCAAAAAGTGGGAAGCCACATGCTATAACCTGCATGTTGGCAAACATGCATTACACACAAAGTTGTTTTTTTTTTCTTTTTTCTTTGGAAGAGAGAATTTAAGCCCCTCAAGGTATTTAAGATACTGACACTTGTCAGCTTTTCTCCTCCAATACTGATATCCCCTTTAAAGACCCGCCCCATTGGCCATAATTTGTGTTTATGCAGATCACAGGTTAGCAAAGCAGAATTAGTTGTTTGTATGTCATTGAAATGTAATAAAAAAATTAGAATATTAAAGTTTTGTATTTTATTTATAAACATTTGTTTGCTTACTACTTCAGAACGACTACGCTTGTGTGCCAATTGAATTTCAAGGACCTAAAGAAACTCCACCCAAAAAAGATTACCCAGCTCCTGATGGAGAATATGTTGATACAACAAGAAAGTATTAAAAAAGTGTTTTTAAAAACATCTGAATTAATTAGTTTATTTAAAATCATGTATCATTTTTAAATTGTTATTTTATGTCACAATAATCATTTTCAAAACAATTAACAACAATAAAATGTTACAGATGTGACACGGTTTTCTAGCTTAATGCTTCCTACACTTTCTTTCAGAAATAGTTCACACATAAAATAATCTCAGGGTGACTAATAGTGTTCATAATGAATAGAAACTTTTAATTTTTACAACAAGAAAAAAAAGGAAATGTACAATTAATTCAACACCACAGCAAATGACCAATAATAATAATCCTATCAGAAACAAGCTTTAAATCCATCATTTTCAACATTGCTTAAAAAAAACATTTTATTAAATTAAAACAATGCAACAACATAAATGTCACAGTACATGTTATTTTGTCATAAAAGTAGTGTTTGATACTTTAAATGCAAATATTTAAGGGGGGGGGGGGGGGGGGGGGAGCATTATAAAATTAAAGACATTTATATTATAATTAAAATCAATATGAAATCTGTTTGACTTGAGGAGAGCTCATCCAACTATTTGATATCTAAAATGTACACCTGAAAAACAATAAAACAAAGAGTAGAAATTGAGGATATAAAGCATTGTTTTAAAGACATTTTGTTAGTAAAAAAAAAAAAATGAATACAATGGCCTCAACTATTATTGTCAAGATAAATGAAATGACCCAAGGAAAAAAAAAAGCTGCATAGATATTTTTTAACTAGTGGGATGAAAATGATCACAGCAAGAAATCAAGCGGTAAATCTGATTGGTTACAGAGAAGGACAAACTACTCCTACTGAAGTGCTCTGGCAAGAAACAGCTATAAACCAGTAATGAAAGAAAGGATTGGCCACCAATACTTTGTTGATATATATAAACATATGAAGAGAGACAACTGTGTCAATATTATAAAGAGAGAGAACTGAGATTGTAGATAAGGCAGGATTTTGTGAAAAACATTTTATCAATTTTCATAGATTTTCCTAATCTTTTTTTCCCTTTTTAAATTTAGAAATAATGTTTAAAAAATAAAAATGTGATTTTATTACTTTTTTTTTTAAATGAATGGTATAATGAATCTACATCCAACAAATGACTAAATTTTATTTAAACGGAAACACACACTTACACTCTTATGAATTTTCACTAAGCTTTTGAATGTTAGTGCTTGGTTTGATTTTTAAAACAGCAATTTGTCGCAAAACAATTAACACGAAAGTCTTCTTCAATGTCTCACATTCTTTTTAAGATAATTGTATAATAATACCTTAATAAAAAAATAGTAACAATATTTTAGGGCAGCTTTTAATTCCCCCCCCCCCCCCCAAAAAAAAAACAATGTTAGAATTAATCAGGAAACAAATGAATAAAACAAAAAAAAAAATAATTTTTTTTCTTATGTTCATTTACCAGTCTCAGCTTTTGGCTTGATCAGAACCTTTGTGTGTAACCACTCCTCTCTGTATTAAGTCTGGTATCTCCACAGCCAGCCAGGGCCCAAGCTAAACAGAAACACAATAGAAATGTAGCTGCAGTGAGATCCACTCCTGTTTCATGACTAAGATCATTTCGGACATTAAAGTTTACTTTTCTGCCTCACCTTTCTAAATCAAATGTATTTTTCTTACAGCATGTCAATTATTTTTGCAACAACAGGGGGCATGGTGGCTAAGCGGTACAGCACTTGGCTTCCAAACTGAGGGGTCCTCAGTTCCCACTGAAGACTGTGATTTGAACTATAATATTTTTAAGATGCCCCTGAGTCCTTCCAACTCTCTGGGTACCTAACAAACATTGAGGAAATAAGAGGCTGTTGTGCTGACTTTAGAAAATAGAGACAGATGAGATTTACATCATCTTTCCTAAGACATTGCCAGATCTGAAGGGACACTTTTATCTAGCAGCAACAAACATAACTGAAATGATTACATTTAAGTTTTAAAAAGGCTTTGTAGAGATATAAAATAAATAATAATTAAGCATTATCAGATATTATTTGGTATTTGAAAAAAAGAAACTGCATCACAACCCCTTTGCAGTTTTTTCTATATATAAATACTTAAATTATGAAAGCTTTAAAGATTGAAATAATTATAGGTATATGCTTTTCAGATTGAAAGAACATGGGTCTCACTTACCCCCAATGCCATGGCATGAGCAATGCCAAACCTTGGAACATTTCTCGCCCACAGAGGTTTGAAGTGATCTGTCAGGCAAATTTTGCCTCCCCTGTAGTGGATTCATCAAATTATTGTACTAAATTTCACAAAACAATTCAGCTTAAATAATGAAGTAAATTTCAAATACTTTTTATTATCTGGCTATTTTTTTTTTAATTTAATGATAAAGTTTATAAAAAAAAATTACCTATACATTTTGGCTGTTTTCCCATCTAACTCTGGTAATGCTATCTCTGGCGATGTAGTTGGGTATGTTACAGGAATCTGAAAAAAGAAAAAGGCACATTAAATCTTCTGATACTATATTTATATGAGAAATATGAACGATTTATATTTAAGCCCTATACAGACAAATATTTGAAAAAATTAAGATATACTTACATCAAATTCAACATCAAACTCATATTTTAAAAGTTCATGAATGTACCAGCACTTCCCAAACCATCGTGTTCCCTCTTTGTTAGATTCCAATCTGAACCAGTCATTGTCACTTTCTTTATTGTTTTGGACATACTGAAATAAAAAGAAAAAAACAACAGTATTTTAGAAATGTTGATGGACCCTATCTTTTACTAATAATGTTTCACAAGAATTATCAGTATATGTTGTAAAATGTAATAGTTATGACACTGCAATATGCTGCAGAAGCAAATGAAGTCTTGGGCTCAAATCAAAATAATTTTAATTTGTGTTCACTTTTTTTTTAATGCTGACATAAATAAAATTATCATAAGGAAAATATTTGTAGTAGAGTCAGAAGGATAAACCAAAATTAACATTTAATTATTGGTATAGACCTAAATTCTTAAATTAATAAATGAATTCTTTTGATATAAAACTATAAAAACTAAATGCTTCTAATTTTATAAACCTTACCATACTTTCACGCATATACCCCACATAAATTACTAAATAAGTAAAAATAAAATCGTACAACCAGCATCCTTATAAACCCGTTTTAAGTAAAGTTGATTTATTACCCAACTGCTACTGCCAACATGCTTCACATATAGGAAGAAGGCAAAGTTTTGATGGCTTTACTAACTATGGTGAGACAGTGACATTAATGAGACTAGTGATTGGTTGCGGAGGTATTGCATGCATTTCGACATTACTGGTATTGACAAAATTGTTTAGTTGCTTGCTTACTTGTCACAATTATTTACTGGTGTATCAAAGATTCTCTACAGTTTCAGTACTATTTGTTTTCTTGGGGTTTATAATGATTTGTTCATAAAGTTTTTCAATGTACATTTCACAACCACACAGCGAACCGCTATATTCTAGACTTTCCGTTATGCTATGTTTATGAGTAAAATAAATTTTTTGTAAACATCGCTACAATGTATACCCTGCACAGCTGACATTCATTTGTAGAAATAACCCTTGGGTTATATGTGTGAAAATATGGTAAATCTATCTAGATACTTTTACAAGTTTTTTCTCCCACTTCCCATTTTTGGATCAATTATTCAGTGCCAAAGACAACACATGAATCAATAAAAAAATGTAACCATTTGGTTAAGTTAATCCATAAGTGGTAATTAATAAGTTTAGTTTTATAGAGAAAAGAGGTAGATAAACCTTGCAATAATTAATATTAAAAAAAAACAAACTTTGGTTTTAAATAATGTATATTTTATGTATTTTGCTTGTAAAGTTTAACTATATATTATATATTAAGGATTCCTGGAACTCAAGAGATTATATTTTCTTCTTTAAAACAGTTTTCTATGCTGACATGCATTTTAGCCATAATTATAAGATTAAAAATAATTATATCGCCATGATCATGTTTTAATAAACTCTCCCTATGCCTTAACACTTAATTCCTAATCGTAAAATCTACACATGGTCACAAATATGTATTGTGATGTCCTGTCAGAGGCAATCTTTCATTGTCACTTTACTTGTGAACTGTCACTGGCAGCAGACTGTCAACATTGCAGTTACAATTATCTATAGATTAATTTTAAATAACAATATTACATAGATCTAGTACTAACAAAAATCAGCTTTGTGAGTTAGAAATTTACTACATACTAGAATCTAAATCTACTATTTAATACAGTAATCAGGGCAGGGCTTAAACCGATTTGACAGATTGCCAAAATTGGGCCCTAATCCTGGCAGGGTCCCTGCAATTTTAAATTTTACATATCAGTCACATGAGTCACAGCCAAAATGTAGGACTTAAAACTTTAACATATTTAGTGTTTCATATGATTGATGTAGCTTTGATTAACCCACTGGCGCCTAATAAGTTTGAGGTGCTTCCTATATAGAGATGCATGTTGTATAACAAATAGCTGTTATTGTAAAAAAAAAATTAAAGAGGGGGTCTTGCAAACATCTTATTTTATATAATACAGATGTTACTTAAAAAAAAAAAGATTATTATGTCCTACCCATCATGCATGTTAACCAATTACTTAAATTCTGCCTAGTCCCTGGTTTTCCTGGCTAACTCAGGCAACCCCATTTCATGGCACTAGGGAAGATGGAGCATTTGTACAAATTTGTCCTAGCAATATAGAACAAGGAATGTCTCTTTATCTTTGTGTCTTTAAATTGGGCCCAGTATATAGTAATAATTAGACCTATCGTCTACACAACTCAACCTGAGCTTTCAGTTTATCATTTATGACCTGGGGTGATGGTGACTTGCCTCCCCAAAACTGCTTAGCCAGTGACAAAATCTTATTTCATGCACTCCATTCACCATTGCCATTGGGCTCAATGTTAATTTTTATTATATATGTAAAAATGCTTAAAAAAACAACAACTATTACTTTCAGATCTTTCTAACTGTTAAACATTCACAAGACTCTATCATGTACAGTTATAATTTATACATCAAAAGTAAGCTCTACTAATGAAGTACTTTAATGATGTAGTAAAAAAAATTTTTTTTTTTTTCCCATCCCTAGTCTACATGTTGATAACATTAAACGATTAAGCACATAACTCTTATTCTAGTTTCTAACTGACAAATCAGCAATTTATTAAATTATTAAGGATGCCATTCAAAGTAACAACAGTCAACAAGGGACATTACTCCTAGATAATGAATAGCATTTAGAACCTATCTATATATATAGGGAGGTGAAATTCCGGAACTTCCGGTGTCCAAAAAATGACGTAAAAACTTGAGACAAGAGTTTTCCTTACTGCTACATAGGTCTTTGTTTGAAATCGATTATGCTCACTATATATAAAGATATCATTGCTAAAAAGAGTGAATTCGATTACTTTTGATG